TTGAATCCATAGATAGGTTTATATGGTTCCTCATCCCAAGTCTCTTTCTTTTTTCTTGTATACCTTAATTATTTCACAAATGTAAGTTGATCGAAAAGAATGTGATTGGATGATTCCATTCAAAATAACCATAAATAGAGGCAAAAGACCACTTAATAATAATGATAATAAATAAATAAATAAATCATAGGTGTCGCACAAGGAATGTAGTATATATTGTTTTTCTAGCTATGTGATGTTTGAAAGTGAGTGTTGAACTGTTGGGTGAGGCGAGCATTTGGGGACACTTTATATCATGTATAATATTCGCATGTGGAACACGCATAAGAATTATTGGTGAAATACATAAACAGTATCTTATCTCTTTTACATTTGTATTAATTAAATGAAAAGCATTACGTTTCTTTAATACCTACTACATTATTAATTATCTGTATTTTTTTTATATCATGGAAAGGTATATATACAATATTATTTTTGGGGATAACATTCCTTTAAATTAGATGGAAAGTATTCTTCTCTTCCTTCTTTGTATGGGTAAAATCATTATTATTTCTAGTAAGAAGACAATGCCTGGCTACCTAAGATATAATTAAAACACACATCAATTATAATGCATTTACTATTATTTTTATTAACCTAGATATTCAACTCGCTATGCGAGTCGACTAATCTCAAGACGACTACTTGCTTGGCAGATAACCCAGAGTCACCGCATTTGAACCTTCATGGCCATAAGAGGATTTTTATTCTTCCTTGGATTTGAACTTGGGATCTCCTGGTAGTTTTAACCTTTGGAGTCAAGCTCAAACCAATCAGGCACCAACTTTGTAGTTTGCATTTACTATTTTGAACTATAGGTAAAGCTTTTTCCTTCTTGCTGATGTTGATGTTGATGTTAATGACAAAAGATCACACATTAAAATTTTGCATGTAATTCCAAAAATTCACCGACTAATTAAATTTAATAAACTCAAACTAAGACATTTACTTCGTGCCTTAATGAGAGAATCCACCAACTAAAATTAATAGAGTAAAGAGAGTTAGTCGATCCAATTATAATCGACAAATCTAATTACAACTTACAGACAAATACTAGATCTCTGGGGTTATAATTGGATTCAATTGGATCCAAAATTTCAATATCCATATATGGTGAGTTGGTTGTTAGATAATAGTTCATAATTCCATAGACTCAAATCAATAAAATTCAACTATAAGGGTGATGCCTGATTAGTTTCAGTTTAGGCTCAGTTTAGGCTCCAAAAGTGAAAAATGCATGGAGGTTTCAAGTTCAAATTCAATGATGAATAAAAATCCCCTTGTAACCACGGACGTTCAAATGCGGTGACTCCAGGCTACCCGCAAAACATGTGGTAACCGTGAGATTAGTCGGCTCACATAACAGGTTGAATATCCACTTTAATAGAAAAATCAATAAAATCCATTTATCAATCAGTTACAATCCAATTACACACACACATTATACTATATTATAAATCATTTTGTTCAAAGTCTTAAAAACAACATTTTTAAGCATTCTGTATTGTTGATTAATGTATGTCTTTTAAAATACAAGAGTAAATCATACATGTAATTATTTCATGCATGTAACTTATTAAAACTTAAACTCCAAAAGAGTAACCAATAACCAACGAATAAACGTGCCTACATACAAATAATTAACGAACTCTTCAAAAACAACAAAATAAATTACAATTGAATTTTACATTTTTCTTGTAATAATATAATTTGTAAAAAATAAATTATTATTATTATTATTATTATTATTATTATTATTATTATTATTATTATTATTATTATTATTATTTAAGACGTCAATTGATAAAGATGCCTTCGACATGTAACTCCGTTGGTAAAGACACGATACAAGATGATTTCACTCAGATAAGGAATTAAGTCCAAATGTTTACGAAAACATTCAACAAGTAGCCAACTCCTAATTATTTAAGTTTATTGGTTAGTTAAAAGAAATAACAATATCATCAAAAACTTCGGTTTGATATAAAAGAGAAACACTAAAAAATTACAAGAGTAAAAGCTGTAAATATTTAACATGCGAGGTATAAAACTATTTTGGTTTATCATTATAAACTCAACAAAATTATATAAATATATATTATATTATGAAATTATTAAATAAAATTCCAATATAACTTATTAATTTTCACAATTTTATATAAATTTAAATGTGTTAATTTGTATAATCTTTTGTTAAAATATTTGACAAACAATTAGTTAAAATATGTAAAATTATACAAATATTCATCTTAATACAAAATAACAGTAGATAATAAATAATAATATAAATCATTCATAACCTTGATTAGATCTAATAGTAAATAGAATTTTTATAATTATATATTAATTTAAGATTTATAAATCAATTTTACAAATCTGTTGGTAATTCATTGACAATTTTTTTCCTCCTAATCCAATAATCATGGTGGATTACCGACAGATTTAAATAGTTAATTGATAACAATAGATCCTCTGGTAATTGTAATATAATTAATTAAAATCAACAAGTAATTATTTATTAAATTAATTTAAAAATAAAATAAAAAATAAAATTCGATGGTAATTAAATTAATTACGAGCGGATTATGCCATTTCTACCATTGATTCTAATTAACAATCACATTTATTGATTAAATTACGGTGGATTAATATTGTCTGCTACCATTGGTTCTAATTAATGATTACATTTAGGTGGCGTTTATTTTTTAAGAGGTGCTGAAGTCTGAATTCACTTCTAATTTTTAAGAGGTTGTGCTGAACTCTGAAATCTGAATCAGTCAGACTGTTTGTTTTTTGCGTCTGAAATCTGAAGTTTGAAGATGAGAGATCAAGAGTTGATATGGATCGACAKTTGACAAAGTTGAGAGATGAGAGATCGAGACAGAAGAGTTGATCTAGAGAAATCGAGCGCAAAGAGATCAGAGTAGGTAGTCGACGATTTGAAATAAGAGGTAATAAGAGGTTTCGCAACCACTTAAATTTTCAGACCTAATAAGAGCTTTTAAGCTCTTAATTGGAAAAAAAACACATTGAATCCTCTTATGTCTGACCGATTCAGACTTAAGAGAACAATAAGAGTTTTTTTATTAAAAACAAACAGCCCCTTAGTTAGCCAATATTTACTGAACTCTAAAGATTATAGTGGCAGAATTACCAACGGATAATATCGTCCGTCAACAAAAAGAGGCTAACCATTGGTGATCTTGATACATCGACTAGATTCTTTTTATGACATGTTCTCTACTAGTCCATCGGTAAAGGCCAACTACTTTGTAATGTCACGGTTCTCACTTAACCTCAATTTTACAAATTGAGTGATTTTTATTTGAACCCACCCTATATATATATATATATATATATATATATATAGAGAGAGAGAGAGAGAGAGAGAGAGAGAGAGAGAGGGGTTGATTATTATACAACCATTTACATTTGTACAACTAATACAACCCAATCTCAACCGTCCATTTAATTTGATGAATATGTGATTTCATAGAAGTTTTGATTGTTTCCTATTATAAAGTATTGATCATAATTAATGAAACCTATTCATTTTCCATAAATATTCAAATCATAATAAATAAACTCTCATCATTTCTATAAATATTTCAACTAATTGGGTTGTATTGGTTGTACAAATGGACATGGTTGCATTTGAAATATACCCTATATATATATATATATATATATATATATATATATATATATATAGGTTCAAATGAGAATGGTAAAAATGTAGAGATTGTGATAGCATTGAATTTTCATGTTTTACTTTATGTTTTTAGGCTTAAAATCCCTACTTTTATATTTTTAATAGGCCTAAATTATGTTTTTATAACCTAATCCAAGTTCAATGTTGATCAGGGCACGAAACGGATGAGAAAAAGCAAGAAAAAATGGTTGTCGTGCTTAAGAGGGTTGTACGGTACAAGTGGTCAAAGAACGGCAAAACATAGGAAAATGCTACCATGACATGTTACCCTACTATGCAAGGGTCGCACATTGTGGTATGAACTTATAGTATACAAAATGCTACCCTGCCATGTAAGGGTCGCACATTGTGGTATGAACTTTCGGTACACAAAATGTTACCCTAACATGTCATGGTTGCATATTTTCCTAGAGGGACCAATTTCATCAAATTTCGATTGTTGAGCAGTTTTTTTCATTTTCTTGGTATAAATAGATTTGGAAACTCCTGTTTGAGAGAGAGCAGACCTAGGGAGGATTTTTGGGAGCAAGAGAGAAGATTTGAAGTGACCCCACTAGGAAAAATTCTGGATCCGTCACTGTATTCGGATCTAATTTTTGTAACCAATCGAACTGGAGTGGTTTGTTGCAATTAAATCATCAATAATTGACTGGCTTAAAATATTTTCAATAATTAAATTTTCAGTGTCTTGTTCAAAAAAGTTAATATAGAAAAAGTTAATCAAAAGTCGATCTTCATTGCCTTTTTTGTTCTCCTCTTACAAAGGGTGTGAGTGGCATGGTATGTTATGATGGTTGGAGTTAGGCAGAAAGGAGGGGGCTGCGGTGGTGATCGTTGGAGGGGGAGGGATGGTGGGAGACATGATTATCCCTTATTTGTCCATCTGAACATGGAGTTGGGATCATGGGAACAACCATATTCATGAGAAAGGTGAAAACACTTTTAACTCACTGGATGGGTTTATTTTTTTTATCAAACATTTTTAAAAGTACGAACCTATGTATTTTCATTTAACTTCATCTACAGCAAAGGGAATATCCAACGGTGGATTTGTGACATAACATACCCGATACCCCAATATAAACTAAAACCAAATAGATAATTACAGGATTTGGTTGTAAAAATTGGTCTTCATGTCTGATATAAGATGGAACAGATGTGAAAAGTGGAGCAAAATACATTTAGGAGTAAACTCCTCGAAGTATTCACTTAAACCACTTTATACCCCTTTGATATAACTCCACAACAATATATTTTTATTAATTATAACAGTATCGAGAGAAATTTTTTGATGAAAAGAACAGTCATAACTTAGATCGACTCGAGTCTTCAATTTATGAACTGACCATTGTATTCAAGATATGAATCCAACGAGGACCATAAAAACTCATCATCAGCTACAATCATATCCTGGCAAGAAGCTGTGTAAACTAAATCCGAAGGTAAAAACAAGTTGTCACTTGATGATATGATGCTATCATTGTCCGAAAAAAAAGGGTCGGTCCAGAAATCTCCGACTGGTGCATAGTCAGTCAGTTGTGGTATATCATCACTTGAACCTGCTGAATCAAACCCATTTAACCAAGATAAGTTGGTTGTTGAAGAAGATAATGGTGATTCAGCTAGTAAAATTTCAATGTCCTGCTGAAGTTGTAAATCTGAGTTCTGGACAAGATTCTCTTCAGTGTTATTGGTCTGATCAGGTTCAACAGTTCCAATGTGTTCATTTTCTAACTCGGTCTGGTCTTTTTGAGCTCTTTTTTTCAAATGTGTGTGCCAACGGTTTTTTATTTCATTGTCACTTCTCCCTGGCAAATACGCAGCCATTTCAGACCATCTGCGAATTAAATAATGAAAATTAATTACGCAACACCAAAGTCAAAAATTCTCTCTTTCAGTTGTTACGAGTAAATTTATTTCATCAAAAATATAATTAGAACTTACTTGTTGCCAAGCTTGTTATGTAACTCAACGATCATATCTTCTTCTTCTTTTGTAAAATTCCCATGTTTAAGGTCTGGGCGGAGATAATTCACCCACCGCAACCTGCAACTTTTCCCACTTCTAGACAGACCTAAACAAGAGAAATCAAAGAACACCAATTAAACAAGCACCCACATCTGTTTGGAAACTACTTTCAAGAACTCGGGGAAGTGGCTCATACCAGCAAACTTGGGAAGCAAACGCCAGTTCCAATGGCCGTATCTCTGGACATACGCTCTTAACTTGTTGTCTTCATCTTCACTCCATGCACCTTTCTTCACTCCGTTTTTGTCAAAACTTGGTGTCTTCACCATCTTGTCCTCTTGCAAGAGTCTTTAGATCTCTATGGAAATGTCTAAATTCTGAACTAAGTTTATGGATCCAAGTACACTCTTATATATATATTGCTAGAGCCTGCACATCAGAACGTGTTTCAATGGAAGAAAATAGTTTTTTTATAGAAATTAAAATAATAAACAATAATAAAGTGAAAATCATTGGATTATTATATTACCCAAAACATTCTCTCGCCATCCTTTGGATTAAACTATGGAAGATTTGGGCCGCCAATTAAATACGTTCTCTATAATTAACCATATTTTAGTGTTTATTTTTTAGGGATCATAACATAAACTTGTATCATTGGCTTAACGTGTCCTTTTATATCACCCAGAAGTCTATTTTGAATATCATAATTTGAACTCTTATTATTTTTTTCTTATTAATTTATCCCGTGTTATCTTCTTTCTTAATTGTGACAACAAAAAGTTCGAGTTATTTTGATTTAAATTGACAACAATTACTTTTGTGTTATAGATATAGAATTATAATTCAAAGATACAACACCGTTAAAATATGTTGATTAAATTAGGGTTCCTAATAGGTATTAGGCTTGCAACATATCATGCTCATGCGCTTGATTCATATTCTATGTGTGATATTTTGCTAGGTATTCCTTAATAATGCATATATAATCTCATTAAATATCAAGTTTACCGGTAGTTATTGTCTATTTACACTTTCTTATTCTTAAAACTCTATAAAATTATAACTAATAATTATTAATTGATAAACATGTTTAGATATTGAATAATCATTGAAATCTACTAATAAGACGCCAAAATACTATCATTATCCTTATTCAAAAAAAAAAAAAATAAGGCATCGGTTTGACTAAATATAAATTTCATTTTCATTTTTAAATCTAAAATATTTAATTTATAGTAAAAATTTATAAGAAACTAGAATTGTATAATTTATAATTTGACAACAATAGTGATTCTTTTTTCTTCGGATGTTATTTTTAGCGGGTCTACCAATTAGCAAGATATGTTTGACCTCCAATTTATTCAAACGAAAATTTCATATTTCTATTTACAATAAAATATTGGAACTTATTGCATCCTACAAGCGCACAACTACTATGTGTAAGGGCTGCTCATGCTCCTTTTTCAATTGGTACTAAAGTGAGTCTTCCTTTTTTTTCTTTTCTTCTCTTGCTACCGTTACAAAAATAATTTTGAAACTCTAACTTGTAATGTCACATAACACAATAAATAATATTATAGTAGGTTGCACTAACTTTATATTAGCTTCAGGGGAATATCCATCCATTAAAATGGATGCACTTTTAAACCCTTCATTTTTTTCTTTTCAAATATATTAGCATCTTTAATCCAATCATTAAAAAAAGAATAACAAAAATACGGTGTGTTTTTTTTTAATATTAAAAAAATCAACTCTAATTTTACATTAAAAATACTAAAACATCTTCAATATTATAATAATAGTGAAATAATATATGTTTATATTTATATATATATATATATATATATATATATATATATACTAGAAAGGTACTCGTGCAATGCAGCGAGATACATCTTGAATTTAATATATTTTTTTTTATCCCAGTCGATGTTATAATATGGTCTTATGTGATTTTGAGAAAACGATGATGTTTTTATTTTTGAACAAAATATAAATTTGAAGATATCATACAAATTTGACAAAAATATATCGATATTAGTATCAAATTAACTATTTAAAATTCCTCATTTTTCTTTAATTTTTTTAATTCATTTTTTTATTATAATTTAATTTAGGTAAAATAATGAAGTAATTTATATTTGATTTAATAATATAATTTTCTTACAAAGATAATAATTAATTATTTTGTTAGAACTCGATAAGTATCCTAATTATATTTTAAATTTTTAAAATTTTAAAATAAGATGTTTATCCTCTATTTGATTATGTTTATTCGCAATTAGTTATACGAATTCAAACATCGAACTTTAATAAGTTGTATTTATGCATAATTTACTTGTAATCTTGAATTTTAATTAATATGCATCAATATACAATACTTTATGCATAAAAAATGGTTTTTAAGAGTTTTTGTCAAATGTTTTATAATATAGTATAGATATACACACATATATGGGGTTGGGTTCACATGAGACCAACCTGTTTTCGTGATACCATTTTTTTACACTTGAAACTTTACAGCAAAATGCTGTGAAGGTAAAAAGAATCCGAACCTTCATAACAAAAACACTGTGAAGGTTACCTTCACAGGGTTTTGTTCTAAATAAAGTTTCAAATGTAAAAAAAGTGGTCTCACATGTCTCATGAAAACATGTTGGCCTCACGTAGTCTCAAATCATATGTGTGTGTGTGTCTATATATATACTAGGTTCGACCCTGTGTATTACGCGGGGTATTTTAAATGAGAAAAACTCTGAAAGAAAACTCTGAACATTAACTCTGGAACACAAGAATTCAGAATTCTATTGTTAGGCTGGAAAATAACTCTGGACTTAACTTTGAATAAGAGGAAGAGTTGTCTTCTAAGTCTAGAAAGTATCTACGAGCATAACTTTGAGTCACAAGAATTCTGACTTCTTATAACTCAGAAACGTAACTCTGAAGAGGAGTTCAAAGTTGTATTCTAAGTCTGGGAATAAACTATATAACTAAGTTTGGAACAGAACAATTCAGAGTTGTGTTGTAAGTCTGAGAAATAACCAATATCTGATGACTTCGTGTTGATGATTTGTACTACTAATGTCATTTAAGTGTAATGGGATTAAATTGTTGGCCAATGTAATCTTGATAATATCGAACAGGTAAGGAAGGTGCATAGTACACACTTGTTTGAGTTTATTTTGATTTAAGGGTGAAGCCCCTAAACGACGGGGTCCTGGGGCGGCGCCCCCTATGGCGGGGTTCAAGAGGCGGCAGCCCCTGGCTAGGGCCAAGCTTGGAATTTTTTTTCCGAGTAATATTGTTTTGTGAAAAATGCTTCAAAAATCCGAATTTGAAATTTTAAATAAGGTTTTGATGACCACTACAGAGTTAAATTCATACTTATAACTCTGAATTTTTCCAGAGTTCTCATGCAGAAGACATCAAGAGACAGAGCTCTTATTCAAGAGTTAAATGTCTCATATACAGAGCCCGTGTTGTATTCCAAGGAAGATCAAGGCTTAAACGCCAAAATGGTTAAGTGCTTGATGCAGAGCTTCACTCCAGATGCAGAACCTCGATTTGACTCGTGTTTTCATTCCAGTCTGAGTCTGTCGATGATGATCAATCTGCCGATGATCCGGCACAAATCCGTCGATGATTACCAGCAGAAAAATATGTCATTGAAGCCTTTTTGTTTAGTAGTGAGTACAAAATCTATTTTTTTCTATATTTTAAAGAATTTGTTAGAAACATTCTTAGTTTATTCCTGAACCCACAAGCGTATAACACTTACATATAGAGGTATACAAGGACCGGGCTTTACGGAAAATACATCTTTAAAATACTATTTTTTTTCATGCATTAATTTACTAGTGTTACCACTAATTTTTTTTTTTTTGATATTTTGTTTAATTTTGTAGTCAAAAAAATAGTTAGGTAAAAACAAGAAGCCATAAACTGGCTTTTTCGGGCTTTAACTACACTTTTTGACAAGCCATGATCAGACTGGTTTCAGTTAACCGAAAACCTATTTTCGTACTTCATCCGGTTTGTTTAAGTGGTCGCAAATTCAAAGTCTAGGAGTAAAACAAGTTTCACCTAAAACGGTCGTCAAACCATGTCTTGTTCAAACGATTCTTTTTAAGATTGATTATTAGTCATTTATCCGTCCAAAATCAATTTTTGGATTATATGTGCATCTCTTTCATGCATGTATCCATTTATATTTAAAAATGAGTGATGGCTACTTTTAACAACCTGGGTCAAAAAGATATACATCTACCTTGTAATATATAATAATTAATGGGAAAATGTCTAAATTGGTGCTTAAGTTTGCAAATGAACCATTGATAATTGGGCTTCTTTGATCTTCATCGTACGTTCATTGGAACGTTTGATACTTGATAAATCTGGAAATATAAAACTGGTGGCTGCTATTAAATAGTTATTTTAATTATATATTAAAAATTATAAGAACTGATTTATGTATGAAGAAAAAATATTAAGCTCAAAATTCCTTAACTTGAAAATTAATCTCGTATTAATAGTATTTAATTTATTTTTTTACTATCATTCTTTTAAAGTTTAATTTTGAACATTTGATGATGATAGTACGGTCTACCACATTCACACGCTTATTCTTCTACTATGATTTTCGATGATTGCGTTGAATATTTGATGATGATAGATTAATTCTTTATAGATTTCAAGAAGAACCAAAATTAATGAGTAATAGTGGTTTTTCCTATTCATTGGTGTTTGTTTATGTTAATTTATGTACACTTTTTTAAGTTCATTTACGTTCTTTTGTTAATATTCATTTATATTCGTTCGTTTAACATCTTAATGAACGAACAAGAACAAACTCATTTTCTTAATGAACGCATATGGAAACAAAAAGTTTGTTCGTTTACAATTCATGTTCGTTCTTCTGTTAAGTTGAACGAACAAACACGAATAATCCTCTGCTTATATTCATTCGGTTTATTTAATTACAACCCTAATCTTGTTTTGACTGCCAAAAAACAGTTTGATCCACAAAATTGTTTATTTTTATGTTAATTGTTATGGTTATAATTTGTTAATCAATTCTTATTAATTTGTTTAGTCAATTTTTAATTGTTTGAAGGCTAATTTTAATTATTCATTATTTGCTAGAAAACTGGAATGGTTTTTGAAAAGAAATATTACCAACATCTGGGAACGTTAGCGGCATAATTAATGATTCTCGTAATATTTTTCAACCCATGAATCTCTACTTATTCCATGCATATGAAAGTTCATCTGAATAATCTTTTTTACGATTCATCCGAATTATAAGTAAAAGAATTATGTTACTTAAATTTCAACACCAATCATCAAAGTTTTTAAAT